TGATACGGGACTCGATCCCGGGACTCCAGGATCATGACCTGAGCCGAAGGCAGTCGCTTAACCAACTGAGCCACCCAGGCGCCCCCAAAACTTCATTTAAAAAAAAGGATGATGGGCCGGATTTGGCCCTTGGGCTGTAGTTTTGGCAATCTTACTTTAGAATCTCTGTTTATCTTGAAGAGTTCTGTGCATCTTGCTTTAGCTCAGCAATATGCCCAAGGCTGGTTTCATATAAAATTGATGTTTTAAAATGTTTGCCATCCAAACCGTGGTGGCCTCGGTGGTCTCTGTGGCCTCTGGAGGACACTCCCAGGGACAAAGAGAGGACCGTGGGCCACCTTCCGGGGCAGGCCATCACCGACCGCGGTAGTCTGCCTCACACCTGCAAGGAGGGCAACGGGACCAGCAGCTCCCTAGGCAGTTCTAGGTCTTTGTGGACACTGAGATCCCAAGCAACACACCAAGGCCTCTGGTTTCTCAGAGAAGAGCAGGATTAGTTAGTGCTTCAGCTAAAGGCTATAAGCCCCAGAAGCAGCACATGGCTTTGGGCCCAGGTTGTAGATTTCTTGAAGTCTTGGCACAAATTGTACTTTTCTCAAAATGCACGTGTGAGCATGTTCCTTTAATCAGGTCTCCAGTCCTCCCCTGAGGTATTCGTCACCTGAGCCAGGAGAATAGCCACCATCTGTGCCTGCAAGGTAACTGGAGGGGCCACGAACACGGAGGCCACATCCTAGCATGGTTCCTGGGGCTTCCAGGCACACATGGCCACCACACCAAGTTTGGAAGCAGAGACTAGCTCAGGGGCTGGCAGAGCAGGCCTGGGAAAATGTGGTGATGCCCCAATACACCCAGCAGGTGTGTTCAGGCATGTTGTCCGCAGCCCAGCCTAGGAGCACCAGACACAGCAGGGAGCACGTTTCTAAGGAGAAAGGGTCAAACGGAACAGCAGGTCCCAGTGCACTGAGAGAGTCTGCGGATGAGGGGAGTCCTGGGCAGAGGGAGGCTCCTCCTTCCCAGGGCTGGGTCCAGTGGAGGCCACAGTGTGAGCCAGGGGTGAAGGCAGGGAGGAGCAGAAGCAGGAATGGGATGACAGCAGAGGGAGGCCAGCTGTGGAGAGCCACATCGAGGCAGGGAGCCCAGGCCAAGCAGTGGTGCGGGAACGGGGGCCTGAAGGAGCCAGTGTGGCTAGACAGGCCACATCGCTGGCCACATCTCCTCGTTCTGCCCTCACAGCCCTCCTAGCGGTGGGAGGGGAGACCCTTCCACCCTTGAGCACTGGATAGAGGTTCTCGGACGGGCTTCCCAAGCCTCTCTGACTAGGCTAAGGATCCCTGGGCCAAGGGGACGGGGCCTCATCCTGGGGTTTGCCAGCAACCTTTGAGGCTCTGGCGTCTGAGAGCTAAAAACCAGTGTGAGGGCCCCAGAGGATGAGGTCACTGCCCACAGCCTGGCCCCAGTGCTTAGAAGGCCCCAGTACCCTCTTCCGCACAGACTTCTTCATCTCAGCAGAAAGCCAAGAGTGGGTATAGCTTTGGGCTGAGCCTCTGGACAAGCAGAGGATGAAGAAGGGCCTTGGAGAATGGGGCCCTGAAGCAGGATGCACAGGCCACATCAGGTTTCTGGAGATGGTCGGGCTGGGCTGCGGGGGTCTCAGTGCAGGGCTCATGTTCCCGAGTTCGTGGGCCAGTGACCAGGGCCCATATCTTCAATTTACCCTGGGCCGCAGGGATTTGATAATAGGAGACATTCTGAGTATAGGGCTGCTGTGGCTGAACTCAGCAAAAAAGGCCAGGTGGTCAGTGCAAGGCCACGGGATTGGGAAATGATGCTGCTGACAAGCCATGGGAGTCTGCCAGGGTGACTGGGGCGAAATTCCAGAAGATTAACTGCTGGGGGAGGACATGAAGTACCAGACACAGCACCCAAGGGAAAAGCTGAGGAGAGAAAGATCTCAGGACACCACTACACACAAAAATGTAAACCACTGCAAACTGCCCCCAAACAAAACAAAGGGCAAAGAACCAAACTATGGAGAATATTTCCCACCCACATGACAAACAAAAAAGTTAGCCTATTCTAATATAAAGATTCTTCAAACTGACAAGAAAGAAACTAATATCCCAATAGAATAAAGGACATGGATAGGACCATCCTAAACATGGAAGATGATCGCTGTTTTTAAGTATATATATATTTTTTTACAGCTGCAACCTCATTACCATCAAATAAATACAACTTAATGACAAAAAGCATATCCCAGCTATAGCTTTCAAATTACCATAGCTGAAAAGGATTCAGTGGTATGAGGAGGAGGGGAGACAGGCATTTGCTTAATGGAGTGTGAAGAGGTGAAACCCTAACAGAGAACATTCTGGCATAGAAAGCTTTAGAATGCACATACCTGTTGACCAGGCATTGCACTTTCAGGGACGCAGTTTAAGGAAATAGTAAAGGACAAGTGATAGATTTAGCTGTAACGATGTTCATTACAGCTTAGTGGCTGATCTGACCTCTAGTAGAGAAATTACTTTTGTTATATGAATATGTCATATCAATAATCAATTACATAAAAAGTGATGTCTATGTGTGCTATGTGATTTGATATGATGCCACCATTAAAATTAGATAGTAGGAGAAAATATTCACACACCTACAGGAATATATTCTAATTTTCCATCATAAATAATATGTTGTCTGTGTTAGATACAGTATCTTTTAATAAACAAAGAATGTTATTTTTCTAGATTTAGGGAGGAAAAGAAGGAAATGGGACCTGGCAGGAGGTGCTGGAATGGGTTGAGTGGTGGGGGTAGTCTGAATGCCGTGAGACCTTTTCTGCACCCAAGTGGCCCTTGTGAGGCTCAGCAAACATTTCCAACTCTTCTCATCTTCCAGAGAGTCCGAGATGGAAAGAAGGACAGATCGATTAACTCCCATTTCCCTATGAAAAAAAAGGGAATAAAATGTCTTGCCCGTAAATACAGGAAAGGAAATGGCACCTCTAGCAATTTCCCACTGCCCTTAAGATCACATCCAAGTCCCTCTCCACATCCAGTGACTGGCCCTGCTCACTGGCAACTTCCCTTCCTACCTGGGCCCTTTGTTCCCCACATGAGCCCCTTCTCACACTTTCAAATGTGCTGACCTCATTCTTGCCACCTCAGGGCCTTTGCACCACCCGTTTCCTCTGAACACTCTATCCTGACCCTTCCCACAGTCATCCACTATCAGTCAAGTCTTACTCCAATGTTACTTTCTGTGCATGTCCTCGCTGACCACCTGTATAAAGTGGCCCACCTTTCCCAGCCCTTCTCCACCTCCCTATGTTATCTCTTTCATTGTATTTATCTGCGATTATCTCTTTTGCTTTTCACTTGAATATTGTCTGTGTCCCTCACCAGAATACAAGCTATGGCTATGTCCTTTCTTGCTCACAGCTATGCCCCTTGCCTGACATATAGAAGATGCCCAACATTTGTTGACTCAGTGGTCAGGTGCCAGGTGTATTAGTCAGCACAAGATGAGCCATGCTGCGTAACAAAGTCTCCACCCCATCAGGAGCTTAACACAGTAAAGCTGGTATGTGTTTCCTTATACACATCACAGTCCTGCCCCATTTTGTACCTGCGCCTACTGGGACGTATGGCTCCCAAGATCACTATGTTAGGGAAAGAAAAGAGGAAAGGGACACATTGGCTCTTAACCGCCTTGACCAAGAGGTGACACACATCAATTCCTTACACAAAGGCCATTAGACAAAACTAGCCACACAGCCCCAGATTAGGTGCAAGGGAGGGGAGCATGTGGATATCTGAGGAGCCTGAAATGTCTATGTCACACCAGGACCCACACATCCCAGCCCAGACTCTGTCACAAGGAGACCGCAAAGGGAGCCCTACAGGCAGAATCACCCTGAGCAGTGAGGGAAACCAGCCTAGCTGCGCGTTGCCCAAGACAGTTGCGAGAACCCCCACCAGACCTTCCTCCCAGGGCCTTTGTGGTCTTCCTCAGGGGACAGGCTGTGTCCATCCAGGGCTGGTCCCTAAGCCTCAGAAGCAGAAAGTGTTTCCACCCTGGCCCTGGATGACCTCACAGCTGACCAAATGCCTCACTTGGAGCACAGTCCGGGCCAGCTGCCGCCACATCTGTCCTCCACGTTGCTGGCTTGGCCCTGGGCTGGGAAGTCCCATAACCAGCTGTGTACTTCCAGAGGGAGGGAGACCTGCCCTGGCCAGGCCTTCCAGGGCCACTCAGGGCTCCAGCTGCAGCTCCAAGCAAGCCAGCACCCTAGGGTCTCAAGGCCACAAGATGGGAGCCACTGGCCACGATGGTGATCTAAATCCAAATGTAACTTAATTACAAAGAAATTCAATCATCCATTGAATGGCTGCCATCAAAAATAACAAATGTTGGTGAGGATGTGGAGAAACTGAAACCTCAGGCCCTGTTGGGAGGGGATGTAAAATGGTGCGGCCGCTGTGGAAAACAGTATGGGGGTTCCTCAAAAAATAAAAAATAGAGCTACCCTAGAATCCTGAAGCTCCACTCCTGGCTGTATACCCAAAGAACTGAGGGCAGGGACATGAAGAGATATTTGCACACCCATGTGCACGGCTGCATTATTCACAATAACCAAGAAGTGGGAACCGCTCCAGTGCCCCTCGACAGGGGAATGAAGAAACACAACGTGGCAGAGACACACAACGGGCTATTCCTCAGCTCTGAAGACAAGGACATTCTGGCACATGCCACGACAGGGATGGACCTGCAGGACATTACGCTAAGTGAAATGAGCCGGTCACAGAGACAAACAGTCCTCTTATATGAGGTACCTAGAGTAGTCGCCATCACAGAGACAGCAGAATGGTGGTTGTCAGGGGGCCTGAGGAGAGGACGGTGGGGGTTAGTGTTTAATGGGGACAGTTTCCGCTCTGCAAGATGAAAAACTTTGGGGATGGACGGTGGTGATGGTTTGCACGGCAGTGGGAACGTAGTTCATGCCGCAGAACGGTACGCTTGAAAATGGCAAAGGTGATCAATTTTACATGTATTTTACCACAGTCAAAAAACCGTTTAATTAAAATTTTAAAATTCTATTGAGAATAAAAGGAGATGAAAATTGGGTTCTCCCATCACGTCAGCCACGTTTTAAGTGCTCGAGGGCTGGCTAGTGGCTGTTGCATCGTGCAGCACAGAATTGTGAGCATCTCCAGCACGCAGGGTTCTGTTGACAGCGTTGCCCTGGGAGGTCATCCTGTCTCACGTACTCACGGTTCCTCAATCTCCCTCCTCCCCAGGACCACCAAAGAGGGTGTGACTGCCATCAGCCCCCGGGACTCTCTCCGAGGTGTACACGGCCCTGAATGAGGACAGACAGCCAGTCTTACGGGGTATTAATTGTCAGGGCAACACATGCCCAAGCAGAGCGCCTCATCTCCCCCACCACACTGGGAGGTGGAGCGCAGGTTAGAGGGGCAGTTAGAGGGGCAGACATACCCCCTTCTCCCTGAGCCCCTGGCTGGCAGCCATGCCCTGGGACAAGCATGCATCCGATAAATGCTTGCTGGATGCCACAGGGAAAAAAGACTTGACCCAATTACTACTTTTCCTCAGCTCCTCCAATTTATCTCCTAAAAGTCTTTTTTTTTTTTTGCTATGATAAAATGTGTTTCAATTTAAGACTGTTTGCATTTCTCAGGCTTTTCAAGAAGCTAACCAAACCATCCTATTATCCAAAGTTGGGGTACAGTCGGAGCCTAAGGGTGTACATGAATAAACTGAAGTTAACTGGCAAAACCAAGAGAAAGTTCGAGACTTCCTCCTCCTGGCTCATGCAGCACGAGGGATGTGTGACACAGAGACCCTCCCCACCAGGTAGTCAAGTCACGTGTGACATAGTAATTATAAACACATATTGGTCTCTGCCTCCCCCCCGCCGCCAGTTCCTGACACAGACCTCCCAAACCCTGTAATGTCCGAGGGACGGGGGTGACAGGAGCAGCCCTTCACCTGTACCTGAGTTTTATGCTGATGAGGTGACTCTTGCTGGGCTCAGGACGGGGGGCCGGCTGCCAGAGGAACCCACCAGGTGATCGGAAGGTTGGAACTTCCAGCACTGCCCCCTGCCCCCACCCCGAGGGCGTCTAGGGAGAAAGAGGAGCTGAGGATTGAGTTCAATCACCCACGGCCAATAAAACCTCCACAAAACCCCTAAACAGTGGAGTTCTGTGAGCTTCCAGCTGGGTGAGCACACCGAGGTGCTGGGAGGCTGGTGCGCCCAGAGAGGGCAGGGAAGCTCTCAACCCCCTCCCACCTGCCTTGCCCCAGGCATCCCTGCCTTTCGACTGTTCTGGACTTGCATCCTTTAGAATATACCACTGGTAGTAAGGAGGGTTTCCCTGAGTTCTGTGAACTGTGCCGGCAAACGTGTGAACCTGAGGAGGGGGTCATGGGAACCCTTGATTTATGGCTGGTTGGGTCTTCCACTCAGATCATACAGGTGACAAGCCGGGATTTGTAAGGGGCGTCCAAAGTGGGGCCAGTCTTGCCCCGTGGGGTCCATGCTAACCTCGAATAGTTAGTTGTTGGAAGTGCTTGGTGCGGAAAAACCCACACATCTGGTGTTAGGAGAGGTGGTGTGACTATAGAAAATAGTTCTCCTTCGGCAGGACCCTCGGCTGGACTGGAAGGCAGTGTAACGCTTGAGGAAGAGCGCACGTTTTCAAGGCAGGCAAGATTTTAAATTACCAGGCTCGTGGAGTTAGTGTGAAGACTGCCTACAATGATGTGTAGTAAATGTCCAGCACGGGCCGGGCACATAGTCACTCATGACAGTAGGAGGACATTTTATTATTTTTACATTAAAGGTACTTTTCAAAAATGAGATGAGATTAGGTGTGACAACACTCTCCAAAACAGAACACACTCTGCAAACCTACCGGACGTCGGCCCCACTCTGCGGACGAGAGGGCAGAGTTCTGGAAGGTCGATGACTCACCTAAGGCCGGCAGAGAGGAAGGTGGGCAGGCGGGCAGGGGTCTCTCGGCCCAGCCATCGGCTCATTCGCATCCTCTTGCCCCTGACCTGCCTCTCCACCGGGGCCCCGGGGAGCCTTGCCCATGGACCTGGTTACCTCTCCGTCAGCCCCACCACTCCAGCCCAGCCACCGGCTCCCACTTACAATGTTCATGAGCGTGAGCAGGTACTTCTGCACGTGCTCCTTCCCGTGGAACTGGACCACAGAGTCGTCCACGCCCAGCAGGACCTCGATGTTGTAGTCGCCGTCGGTAGCATGCCTTCGCGCCCTGCGCCTCGAGCCATTGACACGCTCCTCCAGGACACCCAGGGCACGGCTGAGGTTACCCAGGCTGCCCGGCAGGGCCCCTGGAAGGACAGAGGACACAGTCTGAAGTGGCAGCCCAGGCTCACCAGGGACGCCCGAACGGGCAAAACCCCACGTGGGTGCAACTCGGCAGCAGCCTGGCCATCATCTTGGGGAAAACTCACACAGTACCCACACAGTCCCCATTTTACAGAACGAACTGAGATTCTGTGAGGGCAGAGTGCATGCCAAGTGGGCTCAGACGCAGAAACATGGAAACCAAGTCCACAGCCATCACCGAGCCCGGGCCTGGCACCCAGCGATGAATGGAGAGGCTGAGAGTGTGCTGCTGGCAGCAGGCATGGCCAGCACCAGCTCTTTCACCTGCTTACACACCTGAATACCCGAGAAGAGCTGCCCAGGTGCCACAGGGCCAGTCTCCCCGTTAGGGCCACCACATTATAACCAGGGAGACCGAGGCCCAGCCCTGGTAGTGTGTGTCCCACGGTGTCTCCCTAGGCAGCTCCCCTTCTAGAACTTTCCTCCACTGAAGCAAGGCCCCTCATCTGTGGGCCAGGCCTACCTGCCCCCTCCAGGGTCGAGACCTCCCATGGGTGCCCCCCTCCAGGTGAACCGTGTCTAACCCTGGCCACAGGCCGGGGAGGTGGGTGGTTGCCTGACTGAACTGTGCAGGAGACCAGGGCCCTCTGGTGACAGCTCCCTCACAGTCTGCCTGGGGTGTGGGAGGGGGCCCCAGGGGCCTCAACGGAGGGCCCCAGAAAGTCATCTTGCTGTCTGCACAGCTGTGGTGTCTGCCTCGGCTCTCTTCTCCTTTCCCCCCACCTACCGGGCCTGGAGCCCACCCCGGACCAGAGCTCAGGCTCACAGCCCTTCCCTGGCCCCACCTCTCAGGGTGGCAGCCGAACGGCCCGGGCTGGCCTTTGTCACTGTTAGCGGCCCCAGACCACACTGCCTGCTAGTCCCAGGGCCAAAGCCTTCTGGAAGCCCCTCTACGTCCTGTACTGGTCTCCATGTCTGTGCTGGGGTCCTGACCCCGGGCTCCTGCTTCTTGGCATTCCCAGACACCTGCCCTGGGAAGGGCCTAAGATCTCAGGTCTTCGTGTCTCCACCCACCCAGGGTGTGGTGTCTGGTCCCTGTGGCCCCTGCAGCTGGAGGTGGCGTCGATGCCCCCTGCAGAACCACCGCTCTACAAAGCGTCTTCCAGAATAATTCTCACTTGTCCCCGAAGCCTCTCGTCTGCTGCCTCCTGCAGACGGGAGCAGGACCTCCGTGTCCCAGTGGCACACGGCAGATGCTGGAGGCAGAACAGGGCCTCTCAAGGCAGCGTGGCCGCTCAGAGTCAGGCGAGGCAGCCTGCGCTCCAGTCCCGCCCCACCACTCAGCCCTGCGCACGGGTCTCCGCAGCCAGGCCTGACAAACGGGCCTCTGTGGCGTGCACAACTGTCCCTACTCTACAGACAGAAAGACTAACGGACCTGACTCTCAGCCAGGAGCTCTTTGAGGCACAGAGCTGCCACCTGGCCACGGGACAGGCACCGAGGAGGGTAAGTGGGGGGTGAAGGAGATGGAACAGAAGCAGGGGGCGGGGGCTCTGAAAGAACGAACGACTAAGTCGGGCCAGGGCTGAGCGGCTGCTTGTATTCCGGTACTACCTGGGGGTCCTCATGCCCCTTGCCCCGGCCCTGCCGCCCCCGGGGCGCGCTGACACGCACACGCATGGGGCCCCTCCAGGGGCGGGGCGGGGGGCGGGAGGGCAGGCGTGCAGACAGCCCCGTGCAGAGCTGCTCATTCTGCTGGGCTGCCTGACGATGATTCAGGGCCAGCCGTGCCGCTCCCAGAGGAGACACCAGCTACTTAAACCTGACAGGGGGTTTGAGGAACTGCTACTCTATTTTTACACATTTATTTCTTTGCATTTCCAACCAGCAGGGACAGCTCACCTTCAGAACCACCTTGGGAAGCAGAAAAATGGTAATTTCCACTAAAAAAAAAAAAAAAAATCCTTCCCTGGGGAAGAGGCTAGACGTTTCCTTCTGCCCCTGTCAAAGCCAGGGGTCACTGATGGGTGGTCCCCGGGGCAAAACCAGACCACAGAGACACGTGTTAGGGCCACGCAGTGTTTTAAAAATATCGTATTTGGTTGACAGTACTTCAAAATTGGGAGAGTTCATGTTAAACAAAATCTAGAATAGCCATCTTCTCTTGAGGAATCAGGACATGGGGTCACGGGGTTGAGGGGAGGTGACGGGCAGGTAACACCAGGCTGTGGATTGACAGGACACACAGGGCCCGCATCCCCAGGCCACCTGGCCTGCTGCCCTTGCTGCCCTCCTGGCCCCTGAAGGCGTCAGAGTGCGCCCCTGACCCTAACCCTGGGAGCTGCCGTGCAGTGCCCCCCTCCCAATGCTCCCTGTGGGGCGGGGGGGTGAAGGGCCTGCCACCACGCCAGGTTGGCTGGGACGCATCCTGTAGCTGCTTCTTGCCAAGCAAGCACAGTGTTTGGCTCAATTCATGTTACAGGTCCATTAAAAACAGCAACGTGTTCTAAAGATGCGACAGAAATGACAATTTCACCCCAAGCGTAATTATTACTGTTCTAGTTGTTACTTTAATCATGATGATTTGGGGGCGTGACTTGGACATGATGTTCTGGAACACCTTCCCCCAAGACCCAAGCCCTGTAGGGATGCCCCAAGGTCAAAGTGCAGATGAGGAGAGGGGCAGGTGACAGCCCTGCCCTTCAGTCCAGCCCCTGGAAGCCTCAGCCCTGCTCAGGCCTGGCAGGACATGGGGGGTCTGCCAAGTCCCCAGGCCCAGGGCCACACGAGCAGCCAGGCTAACATTCCTTCCACCGTGTCAGTCTTGGCTATTTCTTCCGTTTCCCGACAATGGGCTCAGTTCTGAAGCCCAGGCCAGGCAGAGACCCCGACCACACCCCAGTCCTCGCAGGCCTGTCCCTCACACCAAGTCCTGCTGCAGGGAGCTCCAGCTCCTGTCTGGTCCTGGGCCAGCTGCCTAGGAGTTCCCTGACACCAAGGCTGGCCTTCTGGGCCTGTCCGTGTGCACTGGCTTGCTCACCCAGCCTAAGGGTCTCTGCTCCTCTCAGTCCCTCAGGGTCAGGGGGGTGGGCTCTTTGCCACTCTCCCCTGCTCCCCCTGGAGCTCCTGCATGCCTGCAGCCCATGTGCTAAGCCACAGTGACACAGAGCTCACCCAGCCCTTTGCTCCATCCCTCGCTACTGATTCAGGCCAGGATAATGAGCTGTCCACCCTGCCCATGTCCTGCTGAGGCAGGAGGCCAGCACCACCCTAGCTCCTCTTGCCCTCTGCACACAGCCTCCCCCACGAGAAGCTGCTGGTCCCCACAGGCGGCTGATCCATGACAGACAGAAGACTGGATCCCTGCAGGCCGGGGCCCCCCAGACTGAAGGCGTCTGTGGCGGGACCCCATCGTTCCAATGGGTGACAATAGGGATTTTAGTTCCCAGCATGCCCTGTGCTGGGGGGACCCTTCGCATGGCAGCTGGGGCTTTGTGTTGCTCATGTCTCAGGCAGAGGATGACAAAGCAAGAAGCTTCCAAGAGCCGTCTCCAGAGGGGATCAAGCAAGATGCCTCAGAGAATCAAGGAAAGGACAGGATAAGGGGAAACAGAATTGGATCCAGGGAATCCCAAAGCACCTGTCCTCCAGGGGAATCAGTGGGTCACAGCGGCCAAGCTCATCCAAAGGCCTTGGAGCACAGGGTGCTCCCTGTAGCAAGCCCCGCATCAGGGGGTAGCCTCGGGGACAAACCTCTGCCACCCCAGCAACCACCTGATCCCAACCGTGAGGAGAAGGCTCCTCACTGCCCTCATTTCTGTCCCCATTTTAGCATCAAGAAGCCCCAGGAGCAGAAAGATTAAGTGACTTAGACAAGCCACACAGTCAAGGAGGAGCTGGGGCCCAGCCTGGGCCATGGGATCCCACGTTAACAAGCCCCAGAGCCGTCCCCGCCCTTCACCAGCCCTGAGGGATGGGTTGGGGAAACAGAAACTGGTAGAAACATAAAGGTTGAGCCTGGAGAAGAGAGCCCACCGGGTCCCGACTCTGCAAAGGCCTCAGGAGCCTTGTGCGGGAGGCACGGATTTTGTAGGTTCAAGGGCACCTGTGTGTTTGCAAATCCCACAGCCAGGACTGTGCCACGCTGACCTCTTGACCTGGGCCACCCTTCCTGCTGCTCCCCAAAGTTAGCACTCCCCACCAGGCCCAGGGGGAGCCCCTCCAAAGGCCCGGAGGGAAGGAGGCCTGCAGCCCCCCTGCACCGGCCTCAGGGACACGCGCGGTCCCATCTGCCTGCCCCACAGAGCGGGCTGCACGTCTCTGGGGGGATGGGGCGCACAGAGCCTTGAGAAGACACTTCGCAGTGACAACGGAAGACTGCTGCCCCTTACCCACGGAATCATCATCCCCACTTCTCACTGGACCTGCCCCCTCTCCTCCTTCAGGTGTCAACTGAAATGTCACCTCCTCAGGGGAACGAGGCATATTTCATCCTCATTAAACTAGGCTCTCCCCTCCCCCAACGTCTCCCTGACAAGCACCTTGTTTTCTTCCTTCATAAAACACCCCACCACTTGCGGTTCTAATCTCATTTGTGAATCTGCTTGGGCCTTGGAGAGAGGCCCCCCCCGGAAGACAAGGGCTATGAGGTCTTGTGTGTGCCTCAGTTTCCCAAGTGCCCGACAAGGCACGGCAGGGCTGGGAGGGCAAGGAGCCAGGGCGGAGAGGCAGCAGGAGGGAGCCCAGCGCCCCACAGCGGGGCCTGCAGGAGAGGTAGGTGCAGGAGGGCCAGGAAGGCCAGACTGGGCAGGGGCGGCAGGAGCAAAAGTGAGGGGACGGGCAGAGGGGCTGGTGCAAAATCCAGCCATAACTTACTTACACACGACAAAGCTAAGATAAAATGACCCAGGGGGAGTTAACACGAAGGGGGCAACGAGAGGGGTACCATGTAATTGCCAACAATAACAATAACAAAAAAGCAGGCCTAATGGTATTTATG